TTTTTTTTTTTTTTCTTTTTTTTTTATACTCTTCGTTTAAGAACCACACTATTGCTCGTTCCATAGAGCCGAACCCCAATATACCAAGACGGTAGACTTACATTGTGCCAATGTCACCTTATAGTCTTTTCTCTCCACTTCTTTTTTTCTTTTTTCTCCCCCTTTTTTTTTTTTTTGCACCTATCATTGAAGTACATCAACACGCACACAGAACAATAAATTAGTAATAAAATAAACGAACTGTTTTTTTATTTTATTTTATATTTTTGCAAGCATATACACACAATAAACTAAACATATATATAACAGACTGATTCCTATCGAATCATTTTATTTCCATTATTTTCTTTTTTCTCGCTCATTACACCTTTGGCAATTGTTGTAATAGTGCTGACATCATCATCAGAAACAGCAAAAGCAATATCTGTATGGAGAAGTACGTGCGTCTTGTAAAGACTCTTCTCTCTCTCAATTCATCATTAGAATCCTCTTTCTTTTTTTTTTCTTTATTCGCGTTCGCAGGGACTTTGTATTTTTATTTTTATTATTATTTCTTTTTTTTTTTTTTTTCCTTTTTCACCCCATCGGTTAAATCAAACGTCACCACCCATTTCAACAACACCAAACGACAAGAAGGAAAGAAATAAAGAAAAAAAAGAAGAAAACAAAAACCCACAAATCATAACATTTCCTCCTTTCCTTTTCTCTCTCCTTGCTTTTTTTTTTTTCTTCTTCTGCTCCTTCTTCTTTATTTTTTTTAAAAAAAAAAACTCTTTTTTTTTTAGGAGGAGGGGGATATCGACGTCCTTCGCGCTGTGCGTTTCCAGCAGCGGCGGCGTATATTCGCCGATCCCTCATTCTCCCGCGGCACCATTTCCCACCCGTCCGCATCCCCGCCGGTGTTTGTCCACGCGGAGGTCCACGTCCACCCCTTTGGGAGCTCCATCTCCGTCTTGCGGGGCTGCGGCCGCCCACGGCTGTCCTGCCAGGCCGCGTAGCCGGCGGGGAGAAAACGACTGCTCCATCCAATGATGGGCACCTTCGACTCGTATTCATACACCACCACTACAGAGTCCGGCACCGCAGAGGTATCCTTCTCTTGTTGTTGTTGCTGCTGTTGCTGTTGTTGTTGTTGTTGTTGTTCCAATGATGAGAAAAGAGATGAGTGAGAGCGTTGTTGTTGTTGTTGTTGTTGTTGTTCCAATCCTCCCTCTTCGGTGGTGGTGGTGGTTTCTGTTCCTTTCTTTACTTGAGTGGCTGTTGAAGTTGTTGTTGTTGTTGTAGAATCGGTTATTAACACCCTCTGACCCTTCTTTAACCCTGTGGTTGTTGTAGTGTCTGTAGAGATGGCAGTTGTGGGTGTGTCTGTTGTAATGGTGGTTTTACTCTTCTCTGTAGTTAATTGTTGTAGAAGCTTCACTACATGTGAGGATGGTGCTGGTTTCAGTGGTACAATCCAACGTCTTCTTCTTACCCGTGCGGTTGGCATCTGCACACTTGTATAGATTCCATAATACTTATTACTAAATCGCCATCCTTCCACATTGGTATCATAGAGTTCCAATTGCCAAGCATCTGATTTCACACCGTATGTTTGTTGTATTTGTTCCTTCTTGCATGGATACCATTGTGGACCATCTGTAGCGATAAACCCTTCATGCACCCATCGTGAGCCATTATACTGTCCACGTTCATACTCATATACAGAGACAATACTCTGATACTCCGCTACAGCACCCATTACATAAAAATCTCGTCTATTTCGCATTCGCTTAACATCTGGAATGTAATTCTCATCACAGAGTGAAGCCACTGTACCAGTGGCGCGGGAAACATCAGACAATAATCCCGCCATTGGGTTCGCCACGATGCCGAGAAGTCCCATTCCAACGCCCTTCATGAGACCCGCAGCGCCGGACTCCGCCGCGCCCTCCATTGGCCGCGTCACCACACCCGTCACTCCACTTGTGAGTCCACGCAAAAGTCCACCGCCGCCACTACTGCCGCCACCACCACTACTGCCGGATCCCCGCATATCTCTATTGTTATTGCCCGTATTGCCAGCGGCGGCGTTAATAAGACCAGCCCCAGCACGGGCGAGATTTGACATGGCACCAAAACCACCACCCACAACATCTGTTAATAAAGAAGAAGAGCCACTTGCCAGTCCCATCGCAAAGGCTTTGGGAGATGTGGAGAGACCCGCAATGGGTTCACGGAAGAATTTCATGGCCCCACTGCCTACACCAGAGGCAAGTTTAATAGGTGCACCAATTAAAGGTAAGGAAGAAGCATATTGAAAGAGAAGTCCTCGAATTTCATTACGAATACCATCAAGATAAGATTGCATAACCCATTGTAAAAGGAGACCCGCACTGCTGGTACGTTTTTGCATAACAATACCAGGCATAGCTATCTTTACATCTTCACAAGAGGCTACCATCATCGATACAAGTGCCGCCGTACGACTTTGCATTTGTTCTCGAATAAAATCATGACCTTCTTCCTCTCGTGCAAACCAAAGACGTACCACAAGTGGATTTACTACCAAACGATCCATAATAACACGTGTATCCATAATACCCACTCTTAATGGAGCCATTTCAAAAAGTTCTTCATCTGTTGGGGCACTTTGTCGAGGAGGTTCCTCTTTTGAGAGGTTGGAAGCAAATAAAACCAAAGCAATAAGTATATTATCAGATAAACGAATGGCTAATGGAACAATATCAAGACGTAATTCATCCACATATAATAGTGACTTTACAGGTACAATAGTTCTTTCAATATATGCAGAAATCCAAGGAGCATCTTCTGCAGAACGAATAGGGAATAAAGTAACTTCAAAAACGGGTTTAATCTCTGTCTGATTATCCACCTGAAAATTTTTGATAGAAAATCTTATCACCTCTTTACCTCCTTGTCGATTAAAATGTAAACGTGTATCACTAAATGCTGCAAAAACAATTTCCTTATCAGTTCTTACCATAGATAAAGAGAAAAAAACTATATTAATCACAACATCAAGTGGAGGTTGTGGTACAGGTTGATAGGTACGTATTTCTCCCATCATTCCCATAAATGTAGAACTAATCTCTACTATTTGTTGTCCAAATGGTCCAAGAGTTACACTGTATGTAAGGCCCAAAGCATTAGATGCTTCGTGTGGTGTAATACGCTGTTGAAAATTAAATTCCACAAATGCAGCAGTATGTACATCTTCCTTCTTGGATCTATTAGAACTTTCCAACTCTTTATTATCCTTGCCTTCATGAACTTCTTCTCTAGCTACATCCCCAACCATACTAACAGAAAGAGTCTTACTTGCATTTGTAATAGTAGTAGAAGTAGCAGTTGTAGCAATACTACCCATACTAGCAGTACTTGTTGTAGTGAGAAGATGTTCTTTTGCAAAGGAAACACGTGTACGAGAAGCATTACTATGTGCATCTAATACAAAAGGCGTCGAACATCCCGGTTTAACTCTGGCAATAAGACGTCCATGTGTATCATGTAATTCCATAGCCTTATTGGTTCGGTTAATCACAATATAGGGTGGGACTACAGGATCCTGTATAGTAACAAAGGTGTATGGAGGGTCAAGTACCACCGCAATCTCAACATGCACATCCCCACCCTCCGTATCCAGACCATCATGTACACCATGAGCCACCACTAATGTATCGTGGATTTCCTCTAAACTTACAGGATCGCCGCGAGCAGGGGTATGGGCTGTTTGCAAGACAAAGGCATTATATCCAATCTCCGGAGTACACTTGGGGGATACAAAGAATGGCACAACGGAGTTTGGTGGGACTAATTGAGCGCTTTCAGTAGAACACACAAACTTGGGTTTGGCCAATGAAGATGAGACTGTACTAGTAGGAGGACGACCAGAACCTTGTGTTCCACTATTACTTCCCATTCCAGTAGTATTAGTAGTAGTAGTAACAGTAGTAGTAGTAGTAGATGATTGTTGTTGTTGTATAATTGCGGGTACGGCTAGTGCAATGTAAAGTGGTCTTGGTGTACGATTCGCTAACATCCATCGTGGTACAATAGTGACAAAGTTCGTTCCATACATATCCACTTGTGTAAAGTGAATGAGATGAAATACCATATTCTTACTACTATCTTTTGCGCTTGTTAAGTTTTTATTTTCAAGTGTCACTACACCACGACCTTGTACATGTAATGGAAGAGCAGCTCCATACAAGTCCGCAACACCTAATTTAACGAAAAATTCATTCGTATTTACTTCTGTTGGAGAGGCAATATATGGATTTTGCATATTCTTTGGTAAATATCCAAAATTGGTCCCTTTTCTCGATATCACTTCCCCAGAGACATTACATTCCCACACCATTAAATCTAATGGTGTAAAGTTTACAATAGAGTAGGGTGTATGAAAGAGAATGGTATTACCCATTTGCCTTACACCAACCCGCATTTCTACTTCTCTCTTTTCACCTCCATACAGTACCACACGTGAAGTCCGACGGGTAATTAATATCCCACGAGGTGTACTGTACACAGCAGGTACACCAACCCGATCTCCTAGTTCTTTAATTTCATCGTGTTGGGATTGTTGATGTATCTCAAGATAAAAGAGGGCATCTTCTAAAGTCATCTCACCAAGAAAAACATCTGCCATTTGATTAGGTTCCACTACGGCATTGTATATAGACTTCTTCCCATTAGGGTTCGTGATATTCACAAATAAACCATATGGAAGATTATTTTGAATACAGAGTTGAGGTTCAATAGAGATAAGAAATACAGGTATACCAGCACATACACCATTCTGTTGTTCATTCGTTCTTACCACAAAAGAATGACCATCTTTCCTTAAGTTATTACAGATAAGTGTTGTGAGTGTACTATTTAACAGCATACTAAGTGTAGGTGTGGTCTTGGATTCCGACATAACGGCAGTAGTGTAATCATCATCTCCATGAGAGTGCATAGGTCGTATTTGTAATTTTTCTTCTAATTTGAAGTTTGGAGAAAAGTAATAACGTTCTTTTGGGGCCACAGGTGCTTCTCCTTTTAAAATCTCCATAAAGACACTGACTTTGTTTTCAAAACAAATAATGGAATTCGTAAAATGGACTGGATAACAACGTAAACGTACCACACGATGTAAATGATAAGAACCTTCACTACGCATGAGTTCCACTTCTACTTCCACCATCATACCAGTACTACGAAGATATAATGGACATTTTACCCAATCAACGGTTACATGATCATCCATAGTGTTATTATTATTATTATTATTATTATTATTATTACTACCACTTCGTCGAATTGTGCAACAAGTTGAACTGGTTGCAAACTCTAATGTACCTCCACGAGGACCCACGACATTTCCATCAACTTCTATACAATCACTAAAGTAATTTTGTACCATAATAAGAGCAGCAATAGTTTCGCTCTCTACTTCTGTAGAAACTGCTTTGATCTTACTAGTATCACTACTAGTAACAGTGGTTTCTGGTTTTGCTATCATAGTTTCATCAGATGTATTCGTCGCATGTTCTTCTTTTTCTTCTTCTCCAGTAGCAGCAGCAGCAGCAGCAGAAGTTTGAACTAGTGATTTATCTTTTTTAGATTCTACATTCTCTTCACCAACAATACTTTTACGTGCATTCAAACGGATCTTTTGGCGTAGTTGTTTCTGTAACTTTGATGTCGCGGAAAAGTCTTCTACAATTTGTAAAAACAATCGAATATTATCAGGAGATAAAACGTAATCCAGACGTTCCACTTTAATCCAATAAGAAGACTTTGTACCGGTTTCAGAAACATTACCACCAATCGTCGCTTCCAATCGTTCCACTAATGGTTCCCAGACTGCCGCATTATGATTTAAATTGCGTACTTTGAATTTTAATTGAATTTGAAATTCCTTCTCTGTAGACACGGAAGCCACAATACCACTGGAGGAATATAATTGGATCATCCCACCATGATGGCCCATCACCACTAAATCCACTAATGGCACTTCAAGCCGAATATCCGTCGCGGGAAGTGTATTTCTACCCGTACAGCATTTATAACAGAGAACCCCAGTAGCAACCATCGTATCCGTATTTCCAGCAGTAGAATCTAAACCATTATTATTATTATTATTATTACTATTATTATTATTACTACTACTACTATTATTAGCCCCAACCGTAGCACTAGCATTAGCACCAGTCGTAGTAGTTGAAGAAGTATTAACAGTAGTCGTCGTAATACTAGTACTCGTGGTCGTAATAACTGTTTGATATTCTTCACGTTCTCGAAGAAACGCATTCATATGTCCACAATAACGACATTCACCAGCATGAGCTACAGTCACGAGTGGACGGAATTCATCATCTTCAAGTTGTATTTGCGGTGGACGTCGCTGTGAAGCCAAATCTTCCACAAAAGCCGTCATAAAATCTTTTCCAAGTTCCACAAAAGAACGTAAAAGAGCCATACGAACACATAACTCTAATGTACTTAGTGTAGCAGAAACACACATCGTATCTACACCTGAAATACTAAAATCCAAGTTTGTAGGGAGTAAAGTACCTTCATCCTTTTCACCGGTATGAACATTCAAAAGACGCAGATTGGAGGCACGTTGTGTGGCTATTCCATTTTCTATTTCCTGTGTGAAGAGCAAGTTTGCAGACATAATCACTGTAACTGCAACTTCTTCCACTTCTTCTGACATGGCTCGCAATCTAATTTCATCACAGTGAACAGAAACAACGGTTCGAGTTTCTTCTTCCGTGAAAAAGGATGATAGCATTGGTGTTGTAGTTGTAGGAGCAGATAAAGCCAGTCCATACGGTGGAGATACAGCTCCTTGCCGTTGTTGTTGTTGTTGTTGTTGTTGTTGAGATTGTTGTTGAGATTGGTGCTTTGTGGAAAAGGTTGGAGATGTTACGGTGACTTTACTCTGTGAGGCGAGACTAGAGTCCATTCCGCCTTTACTCCGTCTGCGCAGATCCCGCATTCCCTGCGTCTGTGCCCGATCACAATAGGCCCATTTATCAATTACACAAGAGTCTCCCGTTACGAGCATCGCATTAAGGCCAAAACTTACAAATGAACTTAATGTATATAAACCAGGTACCACAATGGTGCCATTTACAATGGTGAGATGACAATTATCGTCAAGTACAATTTGTGCACTTGGGGCCCCTGTAAGTGAAAGTTTGTGTTGATTTAAATCTAATTTATAGCAACAGCGTGTTCGACTTGCGGTGGTGAGAATATGGCTTCCATCTAATACGAGATCTGAATCTAATACATGCAACTCTGTTGTCAATCGGCAAACAGGAATAGGCACAAGTGGGATACGGAGTACTTTCGTACAAATAGGACCATAGAGAACATCACGTGTATCCAGTAACATTAAGGGTGAGAGTGAGAGTCGAACAGATGACATTTTAACATCCGCATTCGTCTCATTCACACGAACACCAGCAGTGGTATTGGTAGATGAAGTAACAAGCAGTTTTGTATTTTCCATAAGAAAAAGATCAGAACTTGTAGTGGTGGTGCTTTCAGCCACACGATGTCGCAACATAATGGTTTCCAAATTAATTTTTGTTTCACTTGAAATACTACCAGTTTTATTATTCGTTCCACTGATGACATTATTGCTGCTGCTGCTGTTATTATTATTATTACTGTTACTGTTACTGTTGTTATTGTTGTTGTTATTATTGCCTCCAGAAGACTTTGAAGAGTGTTCAATGTTACATTTACCAATATCTAGTTTGAAAATACCCTCAATATCCACTTCAAATCGCTGCATAATTGCTGTAAACTTCATAATTCCTATTCCACTTGATGTTGTTGAGGTTGAGGTCTCACCCATTCCCCCTCCTGTTATGGTACTATTACCACTAAATGGCTGAGTAGCCAGAGATGCGAGTTGCGGTTTTCTTTTCATCGTTGTATTTAGTGAAAGAGAATTTGTGATGGGTGTAGCCACACTGGCGGCACTTGCAACTCCCTCTTGATGTCCTCCACTCGCCACCTGCGAAGTAGAAGAGGCCATAAACATCATATTATCTCCATATGGAGAAACAGGACCGGAGAAACGAAAAGCACCCACTACATCTAGTAGATAACTTAATTGTTCCTGTGATAGTTTAGCGGTAAGGGTCGGGATCGTAAGAGAGATATTCATAACATCTACAGAAGGTGTAGTCTCCGTAATAGTAGTAGTCGTAGTAGTAGTAGTGGTAATAGTAGTAGTAGTAATAACAGTAGGAGGAGTAAGATCTCCAATAGAACGTGAGAGATTAACTTCAATACAGTTATTATGAGTAAATACAACGGTTCCCAAGACATTTAATAACATTCGACTAATGGAGAGATGAAAGAGTTCCATATAATTATTATCAGAAGAAACTATTCCAGTTTCTGTTGATTCTATTTCCATTTTTGCTTCTTTTGTTGTTATCATTTCATTTCCTTTCATACAACAAATTTCATTTCGTATTTTAAAATCACCAGGAAATACTTCAATTACATTAGTAGAATGAACCGACTCCACCAACATGATAGTAGGACGTTTAAGGACCACCTCAATTTGTGTTAATTGTTGTCGTTCATGTACGGTTTGAGCCGTTTTATCGGCAACATAATCATATGCTTTTTCACGATTTACATCTGATATGTACCCCTTCACATCTGAGAGAACCTTTATAATAGCAGAGGTCACCTCTGGCACCAACACTACAGTCATTGAAGAGAGTTGACACTCTAATTTATGAGCATACATAGGGATGTTTATATTATTCCTACTGCTTTTGTGGTGGTTACTATTATGATCATCATCATCATTGTTATCATCATCATCATGACTCTTCTTATTTCTTGGTGGAAAAGTGAAAAATGAAATGGATATGACATTATCAGGTGTTTTCTGTGTCTTATTATCTTCGTTCGTATGAATAGGATAAACAATATCTGCATAACGGGTACTCTGTGAAAAGGTATCATGAAGTGTAATCCAACCCACAGAAACTGAGAGAGAACTAGAGGCATCTGTGTATGAACACCAATCCAATGTTGAATTTGTCATGTTGGCAGAAAATATATCACGATCACCTTGAACGGCAATGGCATCTGAATGGTTTAGCGAAACACGAATACGATTCGTAAGAAGAGGAGTAAAACCACCAGAAGTAGAATCTTTATTATTATTATCATTATTATCATTACTGTTTATTTCAGTATGAGTCTTTGATGTTTTGGTGGCTACGGTATGTGCGGTGGGGAGTGGTGGTGGGAGTTGTATAGAGAGAAGTACATTCAGAAGACTTCCTACCGCCCTGGGAATAAGCATAAAGCGTATATCTCCAAGATCTACAGATGTTGTTTTATCTGCAACGGAGAAGAGAACTGTAATGGCGGCATCACCCACCGATTGTAAGAGTTGACGTTTTGTAAAGTGTTCCATCATGCTAAGAGATCGTACTGTCATGTGAACATTTCCAGTTGGTGCCACTTCCACATTTAATTCACTAAGTGAGGCGGTGTGTACGTTAATCCCAACAACATCATACATGGCAAGTACAACACCTTCTGCTTGGAATCGTATGATTCGATTAGATGTTCCTTCTACTTGTGAGACTTCTTCTTCTTCTTCATGTTTCTCCTGTTTTACTTTATTTACTTCTTCCTGTTGTTTTGTTTCTACTACTCCTCTTGTTGTTGTTGTTGTTGCTGTTTGTGTATCCATCTCTTTACTATTGTGTTCAATAGGGGCCATAAGGTTTCGTTGCAGTACCCATAAGAGTTTCTCTATTTCTGCAGGATGAAGAAGGGCAGTGGTGTTCTCCAGTACTGCCGATACATTCTCTTCCTTTCCTTTCATAATATAAGAGAAACGCAAGGCTGATCTCTCTAACATATCTGGAATAGAAAAATCATTTAATTTGGCAGAAACCACACAACTCCCATGACGTCTATCCAACTCAATAGTGGATCGCATTACTCCAAGATGTGCCTCAATATTACGTGATTTATTTGAAAGCTCTTGGGCATCACCAGCGAATATAATACGGGGTTGTCGCCAAAGTAAATGTAATGAAAAGGTTCCATTCTGCACCATCTCCTCTGCCGCCCGTGCCAATCGTTCACGATGTCCACGCATAACTCCCAAGTTGGATATCTTCGCAATTGGCTGATCAGGGCCTGTACAGTAATCCACCAATTGCATGATGAGAGGAACTGAACACAATGCGGCCAATTCACCCAACGCCAGTGTTACTTTCTGTCGGCCCGCCTCGGAATCAAAGGAACACCACACCGTAAGAATATCACCAGACGCCGCAACGGCTGTAGCGGCTGCAGCAATCGTAGCAGTTGCAGTGGCGGTTGTTGGCAGTGGCGGTAATGTTGGATTGTTTAGATTCATACTGGTGGCCGGTACATTAATGATGGGAACAGACATTCCGGGAAGCACCATCGTGGGAATCGCCCCACTACTACCACCGCAAATACCAACATTACCCGTAGTTGTAGTTGTAGTAGTCATCGGTAATCCACAAGTTCCGGTGATATTTCCACCACCGCCACCTCCACCACCACCTCCTCCTCCTATTGTGGTGGAAATCGTATCCATTCCACCGCATAATAAATCCTCATCCATACGGGAATCACATGTACTATGTTGTTTAAATAAAATACGTTCTCCACTGGCACAGTGACGTACGAGGAGATCCTGCATGCGTACCGTTACACTGGTATTACCAGAGAGTGTAATGACATCTACAAATAAGGATGTAATATCCGCTTCAATTAACTCCACACGTGATGTTGTTAAAAATGGTACCTTAACGGCACGTGTTGTAATTAAATAACGAAATCGTCTGGCTTCCACTGGAGTTTCACCTTTTACACCCGATTCCACTTCTTTTGTTTCCTCTTCTTTTCCTTTTTCTTCTTTCCCTATTGGTGGACTTGTCATCATTGGCTCTAGTGCCTGCATAACCGCCTCATTGCAGACAAAGTCATACACAGACAACCATTGATCCGATATCGCAAAACGATGGAGAGTGAAATCCACCACAAGTGTTGGAACGCCAAGTAATTCCGCCCCCGCAGTGCCGGGTGAAGTTCCAGCACTAGACACATCACTATCCAATGATTCCCGCGCAGCCACAGTGGCAGCGGAACGTACACCAAAACTCTTTTGAAGAATACCACGCGTTGTAAGAACATGTCGTAATTCCACACGACTCTCACCACATAAAAGCATTGTAGCACTTCGTTTCTCTTTATACATATCGTACAGTGCTAGTTGTGTCCAGCGCATATGCATATCATTACCAGATGCCAGAATTTGAAATGCCAATCCATTGCCTTCTAAGCGGAAACGTGCACTCTTGCTAACTTCATCTAAAAGTGAAACACAAACACGGGATGCACGCCAGGTTACACATATTTCATCACTACGTACACCTTTTGATGTATCCCTTCTTTCTTCGTCTACTGATACCGATTCACCTATTACAGCTGGCATTACATGTGAATGAGACTCTACAAGTGTGGATGCTAGTAAAGGGGATAAGGGTGATGTGGCCATGGATTCTTGTTCCTTATGATGATCCTGTTTCTCTTCTTCTTCTTCTTCTTCTTCTTCTCGTGGTAGTAGTTGTGATTGTTGTTGTGGTTGTTGCTGTGGTTGTGGGGGTGGGGGTGGCATACGTGTAAGGTTACCAACTGCAAGACGACAAAGTTCGACAACATCATTTTCTGTAATATTAAGTGTTAAATCATCACCACGTAAATCTACACGAAGAGGATCATCAGAGATTGGATCCAGTGGAGTTTTAACAGATATATCAAGTGTTGTTGTCGGCATCAGAATATGTGGTTTTACTCCTTCAGATGATTCTTCTTCTTCTTCTGCTGCTGCTGTTGTTGTTGTTGATTTACTCAAGTAATCACGTAGAAAACGAATCTCACGAAGTGAAATATTCATCGTTTGTTGTCCCTCAGCAGCCAGTAAACTACTTTGTACCGCAACATGATCAACAGAGACATGGAATTGTTCACCACTATCTGTGCGAACATCAATAGGAAGAACAAAGAAAAGATCACGGGCAAAAACACGTAGACTTGTTAAAAGTTTTGGTGACTGGACAGCTTCCATTTGTGAGGATATAATCATATGTGATGGTGATGATGGTGAGGTTGTTGCTGGTACTAGAAATGATCGTGGTGGTCGTGATAATGATGATAGTGGTTTTGGACCTTTTTTTATAGTAGCTTCCCTATCATAACGTGGTCGATTGGTTAAATCGGCTACGCGCGAAAAGAGACCATTGGTAAAGTACTGTGTTAACGTCATAATACTATGCATATCAAGAAGTACCGCACTGGAACTCATCTCAACTTCCACAAAAGTAGAAAATCCCAACTCTGATGCATTCATTAAACATCGCTTGCCACTACTATCCGTTTCAAAAATAGGTTCCACCGGTCTACTAGTGCGATAGGCAAATGTGATGTGTTCATGATTATCAGAATTAACAGGAGGAAAACTTGCGGTTCCAAATTCCTGTGTTGAGACAGGATTCAATGGTGATAAGGGTAACGAAAATGGTGAAGGTGAAGATGATTTTACCTGTTGTGTTGGTGGTAAAGAAAGTAATAAACCAGAGGCTACAGAAGTTGCTGTTGCTGTTGATATTGTTGTTCTTCTTCTTATTTCTTCTGCCTCTGTTTCTGCTTCTGCTCCTCCTTCTATTATGGTTGATTGGGATGGGGCTCGGTATTGTAAAATAAGACGATTTGCAGGAGAGACATTGTGTTCCTCTGATAATGACAACGTCACCTGCTGAACCCCACCACTTACCTCCATCGTAACAGTATTCTTTTTAAGTGAAAGCGTTACTTCTCTAAAGGAGGCGTGAGCAAAAAGATAATCCTTTTCTTCTTGTGATTCTTCTTGATGACGATGATGATCCATCAGTTCTACTGTAGCTGTACCAGCAATATGAAGTGAGAGTTGTGCTACCGGTGTATCATGTCTAGAATCAATATCTTCTTGACACTTTTTATTTTGTTGTTGTGCTTGTTCACACATCACTCGAATAGGAGTACCTTTCACATTTAGTGAAGAACCAGTGAGACGACGCAACATGGGTGAAAGGGTTACCCGTTCCATTGGCATTGGAGTTGGTGTGGTTGTAACCAAGTTCACAATATCCATAAGTGTTTCCAGTAGTTGAATACATGGTGTACCAAGACGAAAAGTAATGGATGGTTCTAATAATACTTGTACCTTTACTGGTGACTCTGGTGCTGTCTTTATCTTACAATGAATCTTAGTAGCACTGAGAATAAGATGATCTGGATCTCGTGCATCTCGGCAGTAAGGACGTTCAAGCATCATCTCTACCTTTGTTTGTATTGTTCCCATATGTAATCTTACGGTAGCCGCACTAAAGGCTAAAGTAAAGCGGGGATCTTCCAATGGATGTTGTGTAATAGCGTTATCTTCAAATATTACTATACCCACTTCCTTTAATGTCATATCCAATCGCAAATACCGAAAGTCTTCTCGTGATTTACTAGCAAGTGATGGAGAAGCTGGACTCACTTCACCAGATTCGGATTCCACTCCTGCAACTACAGATGTTGTTCCTGTTCTTCCACTACATCTTATTGTATTTGAGAGATGTGATTGTGAATAGGAAGCAAGCTCACCTACGCTTACCGCAAGTGATCCCATCCTTTCTCCTCCATTTTGTATAGTGGTCTCTTCTAGTGAGGATGCCAATACATCATCACTGTACAGAGCGTCATTATTATGAAGGAATAAGAGCCAACTCTCTACCATATTTGACAGAATGTATGCCTGACTAAGAGAACAACCCAGATGTAATGCTGGAACTTCCATTCGAACAATAAATCGTTCACGATTTTCAATACTATCATCAATAAGGTGTAATACTTCTGCTGAAAAAGCTACTTCAGGAACGAACATAAATCCCGTACCTGGTCGATTTAGAGCCATTTCTACAGGTGCTAATTCCACATAAAAATTTGCAAAAGTTGCTGTACTAGAATAATACAACATATCTTCAGTTGCATCATTAAGATGTGTAGTCGCCAAACGTCTTTGTTTCTCTGTTTCTGTTAATGGTTGGGTATCATATTTTACGTGTCCAAGAGAAACTGCTAAAGCTGGCTCATCTGCAGAACCTCGTAATGTTTTTGGTAATATAATATGAGGTGCGGCAGCATCTACACTAATTTTAAAACTTTTTGAACGGGCCATGGCAAGACGAAGTTCTGTAGAGGCAGCTTGACCAACTGTTGCGGCAATAGCTTTAGTTCTTTCCACAATAGCACCAAGATCAATACCTTGTGGAATCTCAAAGAAACGAAATATACTATCAAGAGTAGGTGGATCTGCTATAATACGAAGAGGTAAAAGACGAAGATCCATAACAAAATCCAAATGTGTATCTTGTAAAGGTTGTTCTATTGGATTAAATGCGGCATTACATTCCAGTAATGGAGTATCCTGCAAGAATGAAGATCTTTGACCCTGACTTTCTTGTGTATATTGCATTTCCTGTCCATGTTGTTTTCGTACATCTACAAATTGCATAGGTAGTCCTTCAATTAGTGATGGATGTAAAGACATTGAACCATCATCTATAACTGGGTTTGATAAGGTCAAATTATCTGTGACGAATCGGAACTGAATCGAGTTGGGTGCATTAAATGTCTTCACATTTGTTGCCAACTTATGCAGTTTCAACGTGGTAGCCTCTGCTCTGGATATATCGGCAGAAACACACAACATAGCCATATCAAACTGTGCGTCCAACCAACAGTACGACTTGGGAAGTTGTCCCTTCCCTCCTCCTTCTCCTTCTCCTTCTTCTTCTTCTGGGTGTTTGGGGTCTATTCCGTAGGCCCGCTGAAGCTCCTCAATGGCGAGTTCCTCCTCGCGGGCCTCCTTCGGATCGCGATCGCCCCGCCGCCTCCACCACCCCCATCCCCAACCGCCGTCCCTCCCGCCCCCGCCGCCGCCGGCTGCTGCGGAGGCCTCGTGGTCCTTCCGCTTCAGTTGAATGGCCGTCGCCAGTTGCGTGTAGACATAACGGCGGCCGGCAATCATGTCGGGCACTGTCATGAAGCGCGTGATGAAGCGGTAGGCCCGCTGCTTCTCCGCTGACATCTCCGACTTGCGCACCACATCGCGGTAGAGCACGTGGTAGTCCACCATGCAAACTTCTGAAATACGCTGGAGAAGTCGCTCACGACGGGGGGCTCCAGCAATCGCACGTACGGCATTAATAGCATAGCGCCACCAGACGGCAGCATGATTCATCACAGGCACATTAGGACGTCGAGAGAGGACCTCATTAAAACTATTCCAATTACTTAAAAGTGAAACAGTTCGTATGAGAGTCAAATATTGGGCACGGTTAAACCTTGCTATAACGGTATTCAATTGCATACGTATAGAAAGATACGGTTCATGTAATAATTGTTGAATGTATTTTTTTAAAACCAAATTTGCATCTACATGTCCTTTAATAGGTCCAAAAATTGTAGAAACACGTACATCTCCCGTTTCCAGACGATCTCGCATAGCTTTATACCAAACGGACATATCTGTCATATTAGAAATAAAGTGATCTTGTGAGTTTAACATCTCACATCGCAGTGGATCATCACAATAGAATTGCATACCTTCAAATTCCAATCGTTTTGAAACACGTTGAAGTCCAGAAGGATCAACAAATACTGCCTCTCCAGTGGCTGTATCAATTGTCTGCAATCGGACACCACCAAGAATAGCACCCATTATAGTTTTTGTAGATTCATCTTCGTAACGAATATGCACACTTCGAACTTTCACGACGATATTGTTGATAACAAGTTCCCCAAGTCGGGAAAAATACCCTCCCTTTTCGCTTGCAGTAGTTAAAGGTGATGATGAAGCACCTGTATCGGTAGCCTCACCAGCCCCTCCACTGTTATTATTACTAGTATTAGTAGCAGTGGCATTAGATTCCTTCATGCGTTTTCGTTCCGCTTCAAACTGTTCTAATTGACGTTCTTTGTACGCTGCCTGTGCGTCTAGTTTAGCAGCTTTACTCAACACTACATTACGACATTCTGTATTTCCACGTACACATATAAAGAGTTCATCCACCTCTATCACCACCGGTTTCGAACGCATTTGAGTAAATGGTACCACAATATTTACACTTTTGCATATACCACGTTGCAAATTCAACGGTAAACGCTTACTTGTGTTTCCCGCAGCAGAAGCTGCCGTTCCTACATTATCACTGCTGCTAGAATCTCCATCTAGCAGGGCGTCAAGGAGAGTCGGTTTTAGGACAAGATCCTTAAGAAATGCCTTACCATTCCAAAGGTCAACACTGAGCTGCTTTGAGTCAATATTCTCCGCATACTTGGAGAGATATGGTACAATAATAGCGGTTAGATACTTTTCGAGCATTCTGTAGAGAAGCAAATTTGTGTGTAGATTTCTTTTGATCTTATTTGATCTATGTATTTCTGATGTGTTTCGTAGTTTGTATATGGGTTTGGTTTCTTATTTGCTTTAATACGTATCGCGTGTCGTCCAAATAATAATAATAATAATTTCCGTAATAAACTCACACACAAAAAACCTCCACAGAGAAGCACACACAGACACACACCCTTTTTTGTTTTTCTTCTTACCCTTCTTTACACTTTTCTTTATATTGCTTTCTTTTCCCCAACTTGACTACTATTATTTTCTGTTTTCTTTTTTTTCCTTTTCTTTCTTCTTTGGATGTTGGTTCTGGTGGTGACGCTATATGTATAGGTGTGTACTTCTTCTTACCTTTCCTCCCCTTACCTTTTTTCTTTTTGGCTTGTTTTTTTTTTTTTTT